AACTTATCTTGTCGAATGTTACTTCGACGCCACGCAATACAGATCGCCAGCAGTACATCTGAGAATAACTCGTGTCGAATTTGTTTTAACATACGAGCAGAAATCGCTCATCAGAAATTTGTTCCCCAAAAAAAGATTCGAGTATGGATTTCATCTGATGTGATGATGTAACCCAGCGCATTGATAATACAATTCTTTCTGTATAGGGAGCAACTGTATTTCATGCTGTAAACCTAATTTATTTTGAGTATAAATTTATCTAATCGATAACTTTCACTCAACGGGCTCTCTTAATGATTTATCAAGTAATCGACTAGAAAAAAGGCACCTGTATGATTAAGTAGTTCAAGAGTTGGAGAGACTGTGTTGACGTTCAAAGCATATGCTACATGATTAAGAACTCACTATGACAAAAAACATTTCAACATTTAATTTCGATTAGTTGTCATATTACAAATGAAAGCAAATCTAAAAACAGACTTGAACCAATACTCCGAAATGTCTGAACGGACTGTAACATTAGAAGTATTATTCGGGTACAAATTCAACCACTCAAAAAACAGATCTTGGCGTTATTTCACAAAGTGAAGTAGCTCATTAGAGTGATTGACGCGATTAAGCATGCTTGGATTATGCAGTACCAGAATCGGTTGTTTTCATACAAAAATGTGCATAGCTTAAAATTGGAATTTAAAAGAAACTCAGGTTATCATGGAGAACAGTTAGAAAAAATCGTAACATTCCAAAAGTTTCTTGATTTCTTGATTCTTTTAACCGAGAACATATTAATGATTACATGAACTTTCGGTTACAGCAGTAGAATGAGATTTGAAGAAACGTATATACTTCACAAGCAGCTTACTACTCTTTTCCGAAAATTTGAAGAGATCCAAAATCTTGTATACGGAACCAATCCCAATATGGATTCAAAATAACTGTTAAGCATATTTCAAAACTGTCACGGTTAAAAACACCTGAAAAACTCCAACAGCCCGTCTCTCATCAAAACACATCGATACCCCAAAACTAAGCTTGCCTCAACGCTGTTGATGTAGGATGTCTTCTAGCTTAGCTTCTCAAAAGAGATACTTTTAAAAATAATATACAGCTATTTATTATTTAAATAGCTGATTCGTTGGCAACAACATTTCGTTTATTTTTTTTTGGGTGTAACTACCTATTTGAAATCTAGCGCTATTAAAACATTATCATACTATTTAAAAGATTTGATAACTATTTAAAAAAGTACACAGCTACTAAATGATTTAAATAGCTGATTTATTTGTCTGATGAATTCTGTAGTCTTTCTTTGTGAAGCACGATCTAAAAGGAGTGTTGAAGTATGTAGGGAAGAAATTTTCACCCCCCACAGACGTGACAGACATTACCATTGAAACGCCACAAACGTGACAGACGTCTTAGCAACGGCCCATCACAGATCCTGCGAGACAACACTGAGCGACCATCACAGATACCTTAGTAATGTCATCGGTCTTCTTCAGAAACCTTGGCGAATACCCTAGCAACACCTCTCCTCCGTCAAAGACTGACAGATATCTTAGTATTGCTGCTCCTTCCGCACGGACCGTGACATTCCGTAGTCTACTGCTGAAGTAGTATGAAACACGATTGAATTTAAGATAGCTGTCATTTGCTCCTCTTTCACACTCACTGTAATATATAACGATTAACATTTATCATCATCGAGAAGCAGTAATAGTAGGTAGGAATTAACAAAGCGAAGCATATCTTGGTAAATTCCGGCTTTTACAATGTGACCAGCCTCATCGTGTTTGACATATTAATCCCACAGGGATTGCGCTAACAGCTTTTATATATATATATATGTCACAGTTGATATTGGAATTTAGTTGAGTTTGAAATGCATGTTAATAACATAAGTCATACGATAATTAATGTTTGTTTGCTATTAAATTCAACTTTTGTAATTTTAGCGATTCTAAATGATTGGTCGAGCTTCTATGATTTATTATGAATTATTTTAAAATATTTACTTATAGAAAATTTTCGTTTTTAACCATTTTTATTTAGTAACTATTATAATTTTATGAATTTTATTCATCTCCTTATAATTAGTCGATTGATGTTAGTTGCTATGGAACATCCAATCAAGAAACACATTCTACAGGGTGTAAAAAAACCATTACGCCCCCCCTTCCAGACCTAAAGACCAAATAGTACCCCCAACAATTTTATACCAAATGAAAGCCCGCAAAAAGTTACGTCTAGTGGTATAGTCAGAACAAATATAGTTTGTAATATTATAACGATTCTAGGCTCAATACATCATTTTCACTTATGTATCACAGTCTCATATCAATTGAAATGATACAAGTTATCTTTCTTCACTTTCGAATTACGTATTAATAGATCGTAGTTTTCATGGCTCCAAGTTTTTATTAAATGTACGATATCGTAGACCAATATGTCACGTATTTTGCCAAATTTTCGTTTTCTAATGTTATATTTGAGTATCACAAAGCACATGAGCGAGTTGAGTAATGTTTAGTGTGAATTATCAAAAGCCTTACTATTGATGACTGATAACGAGAAGAAGGAACAGAAAAAAAGAAAGTTATGTGCACATTTATGCACGAACAGATAAGAAGAGAATACAGAAAAGAAAATGATCGAGTGTCGAAATATTTTCAACTTTTTTCATTGATTTTCTTTCTGAGTATCTGTTGTCCGCGCAAGTAATTTTTATTCACGTTAGACGTTGAACAATTTGCTGATTAGTTAATAAAAAAATCTATGGTACATTAATTGAAAAACCAAAATGGCTAATCTGCTTCATGATTCGGAAGAGCAACGATTCGTTGACAGAATTCGATGTGTCACATATCGTGAAATACGTGATGAACTGATTGCAAGAACAGGAGACTCAATTATTACTCGCCCTTGGATTTCCGAGAAGCTACGTCGCAGTGAAGATTGGGTACGACGAAATTGGAATAAATCTATCGAAGAATGTTATACACAATTTGGCAGTGGTCGACCCCAGGTGCTTAATCAGGAGAGCAGAAACATTATCTCTTCTGCAAGTGGTGTCAAAAGCAGTAGCTGTCGAAAAGTTGCAAGAGAGATTTTAGAGAAAACAAAACAGCGGGTGAGTCACATGACTATTTACAATGAACGCCATCGGCAAGGATTAAAAGCTTTCCATGTGATTGCCAAGCCACTGAAGACAAATACACATATCGAAGATCGCAAGTGGCTAGCAAATTTTCTTACTGATTGGACTGAAGAAGATTTTCTACATGTTGCACCTTCGGATGAATTTTACATTTATGTTGTAAGAAAACCAAACCATCAAAATGATCGAATTTGGGCAAGAAGTATTGAAGACATCAGTGATGATGAAAGATACCGAGAGATGGTTTACAATGCAACATGTATTGGGGTTTTCGTCATGTTTACTGCAAAAAAACTACTTTGGGTGCTAAAAGAATATGGACAGTCTTGGGATGGCGCTTATTTTCGTGACACTGTCCTTCGACAACAGGTGATCCCATTTCTTCGTGATTCGTCCAATGTTCTCGATACGAACGAAGTGATATTTCTTCACGACAAGGCACCTTGTATGAAAGCGAATGCAACACAACATCTTTTAGAAGATGAGAATGTGAATTTCTGGGGAAATTCAATTTGGCCAGGCAATAGTCCTGACATGAATCCTGCAGAAAATATTGGTGCAATTATTAAAGATAAAGTTGAGGAACTAATGGCAAATGAAGATCGTCGTAGCAGATACAATTACGATGCACTGAAAACGAATTTGGAGAATACGCTCAAAGATCTTGAAAATGATACAGATCTTTTTATTGACTTGTTATGCTCGATGCGAAAAAGATTTGATGCTCTCAAGGCTGCTGATGGGGGTCATACGAAGTTCTGAAACTTTCGAAAAAGCATTTTTTAGTATTCAATATTATCAATAAACTGAATAATTAATGATTCACAACTTAAGTTACTGTTGAGCACAACGGCTTTTGACGTACTCGAGATTGTGATATATAAGTGAAAATGATGTATTGAGCCTAAAATCGTTATAATATTACAAACTATATTTGTTCTGACTATACCACTAGACGTAACTTTTTGCGGGCTTTCATTTGGTATAAAATTGTTGGGGGTACTATTTGGTCTTTAGGTCTGGAAGGGGGGGGCGTAATGGTTTTTTTACACCCTGTATGTCTGTTTGTTTTCAATTACATAAATTATATATATTTTTTTCATATGAATCTCTTACAAAAAAATGAGCATTCCCAATTCTAAAGATACAATCTTACATTGATAAACTTTCTCACAATAAATCTATTGAATAGATAATCAACAATCTATTTATAGTCCAATTATTACTCAATCAATCGAAAAACAGATCGGCTGCTATCATAAATAGCATAAATCATTCAATTTCAAATTTTTAACAACCAATTAGCTAACACTAAATATTTAACCAATCATTCGATCCCCCATATCATGAGCATCGAAAGAAAATTATTTTATAAAAATAAATAGCTCAAATACTCTCAATTTCGCTTCAACCAATGATTCAATGTCCCCAGATCTCACTGCTCGAAAAAAAAATCTATTCTATAGAAACAAATAGCTCAAATACTCTTTATTTCATTTCAACCAATCGTTCAATGTCCCCATGTTCCGAGCACCAATATAGAAACTACACTATAAGGAAAAGGATGAGTAAGATTTACTTTTACACGAAAACAATAAATAGAATGACTAATGGCTTTTTATCAACAAAATAACAGTACGAAGATATTTTTTATTGTTCAAGAAGTAATAGTAAATATAAATTTGATAAGAAACAAACAAGTTTTCTTGAATATGTGTTGGAAAAATTTTTAAACAAGCAAAGTGAACTAAGTGATTTCAATCTCAAGTAGATGCCAAACTCAACTGCAACATAGATATTCAAAGCAAATATTACTTAACAATTAATTCCAAGATACAGGTCTTAGCTGAAAGCACTATATTATATATTAAATGGCTACTATGAATTTGTCACAATTGAACACTTTTCTCCTCGACTATTCTCAACGTAGAAACTTATTTTCCTTTGAACTATTTAAATGATTAATATTCAATTTCAGCCGTTTTTACTTCGACTAAAGGAACAATTAGGTGACGCTCTCTCTTTCTTATTCATGCACATATTTTCAAATTTTGTCACCCCTTGCCCGAGAGAAAACAGTTGCAATAAAATAGTAGGCGAGTACTATTTAAATAGCTGCGAAAGTTTATTAAGTAGCATTGATAATATTTAACTAGTGTGCGAGATTGAATAAAATTTATTGAGGTATATTCAAAATAGGCACTCCTTGTTATAATAAATAAATAGTTGAATGTTATTTCAGTAGCTACGAATATTTATTAAATAGTGCTTGATACTCAATAGTTATTCACTCAGGCATATTCATAATAAATAAATAGCTGAATATTTATTAAATAGCTACGAATATTTATCAAATAGTACTGATGATCATTAAATAGTGCTTAGGATTAAATATCGACTAGAGGTGACCAATTTACATTTACAACAATTTACTAAATCAATTTAAATTGGATTTAAATTAATTTCAATTAAATCTAAATAAGTTTAAATTATTTTAAATTTCATTTTAATTAATTTAAGTTAAATTTAAAATTGTATAGTTGTCTCTAGGAATAAAAGCAACCTCTTATCTCTGAAGTGTTCTATCAAAGATATGTTTATGAGTATTTTAATATCATTAAAAAATAACAGAAATGGAGCGCGGCTCTTTTATGTGGAATCTTTTATTCAGATGATCGGATTTCCACGTATAATACCAGTGTCTCTCATTATTTCTTATCTATTTTTTTTAAGTCATGTATTTTGACAATCGGATTGATCAATTTACATGTACAAAAATTTATTAAATACAGAAATCAATTCTAAAAAATTTACATTTAAAATAAATTAGCAGGAAAATGCCACGCCTAACAGCGACATATGCAAGCATAATGAAATGAAACTACTTAGGCCATACCGAAAGTAGTGGCAGAGGTACTTTAATTCTGTATAAAAAGCTTAGAGAAATTTTTTCTCTATGTGGTCTCATAGTAACAACAACGCTCTTCATTTCTGTGATATTGGATCATTCTTCAACTAAAGTCATAATAATAATGTTTCG